CCATCCAGCACCAAAGATCACAAAGTCCCAAATACAGAGGAGCCATTAACCCACAGCCACTCCGTCTTGCCAGGGTTCAGCTGGAGCCTGTTATTCCCCATCCAGACCCTTACAGCCTCCAGGCACCATGAAAGGGTGGTCACGGCATCACTTACCTCACCAGGGATGGAGATGTATAATTGCGTATCATCAGCATACTGATGATACCTCATCCCATGTGCAAATGTATGTTTGGTAGAGGTTAGTTGCCTCTGTTGGTGGCCTGTCCATCTGCATGTAAAATGGTGCCACACAGCATTTTACTAGATAAGATCAGGGACTTTTTAATTCTGGTATAAATTTCATTGGAAAAATAGGTTAGTGAATTTAACTCTTATTGAAATGGATGCAATTTAAGTATTCAGATTTGTTGAATTATGCCTGTAGTATCTATATCTATATATCAAAATTAAAAAGACTTCATTTGAGTACATACACTAAATACAGTAGTTGCTGAAATGATGGGAAACTGAGATAAATGAATACTTTTACTAACTATTGAATTATTAAAACATTTGCAGATAAAATTCAGGAAATCTATAAAGTTTTTATTCAGGAATCTGGGATCCAGTTCAATGAACTAGAGGAAAAAGTGCTCCAGTTCCATGTTAGTAATTTAGAATATGCCTGTGGCAGCAACCTCCATGAAGTGAGTGGAAATCATTTGCTTATAATGACAGAACAATATGGTTAAAAATATTTATTTCCAATTGTCATATAAATGGATCCAGATCAATGTTTTCTTATTAAGCAGAGATATGAAATGAGTTAGAAATGTTTCTGGGCTTTAATTAACTTGGAACTGGTAACCAATTGGTTCTAGTTCTACATACCGGAAGAAAACTATAAAATGACTGGACAGGGCAAGTTAATAAACTAGCCTCACAGAGCTAGTAGGCAGTAGAATCCATTTTACATGACTACAAAATTCTGACATGTGAAAGTTTCATCAGGTTGCAAAAAAGGGAGATGAGATGATGAACCACGCCATTCCATCTGCCCTGCTAAAAACCCACATCCATCCATCCATCCATCCATCCATCCATCCATCCATCCATCCATCCATCCATCCATCCATCCTCTTCTTGAACTTTAGCTGTTCCTTATAGAAGAATGACTGTTGGTGGCTGAGTATGGAGGTGTTTTCCTTCTTCTTTCTGCATTTTTCCCTTTCTGTGTCAACCTTTTAGTTCATAAGCTTGCTGGCAGGGTCTCTTTTTTAAAAACCCTTCATTGGCTACATGTGAGCTACTCTGGGAGCCTCTGTGGGTGAAAAGAAGGATAAAAATGCTTTAAAGAACTGTACTGCTTGTTGGAAGATGTGGCATTTTTCCCATGCTCAGATAAAGCTGGAAGAAAGTAACTGGCTTGTGGTGTTAAATGTGCTAAGTCCTAGGTCTGCAAGAAGGGATGGTATAGCTGCAACTTGATCTAGGGAGCTTTTCACATATATGACAGTTAGGAGAAGTGGGGAGATTGCTTTATGTATTTGGGAAAAGAAAATATACTAGTCTGCATCATCCTCAAAACAGATAACTTATGTTTAAATTAAATTTAAACTGACTGAAGAATTGATTGTCTCTCCATATAGGTTTCTGCACGTTCTTGGGATCATAATGAATTTTTTGCTCAGTTTGCTGGTGATCACACCTTATTAAGTTCAGGATATTCTGCCATAACTGAAAAAATAGCTGAAGGCCTGGACATTAGGTTAAAGGTTCCAGTAAGTATCAAAACATGAAATAATAGTCAGTTTTCCTTGCTTTGTCATAGAATATTTCATCTCACTAGTGTTTAGTTTAGTTCTGTTTGAATTGTAGTATATATACAAACTACTTTAACTTTTCAAATTGTTTCTGTGGATGCCCAATTTAATATACATTTTAGAAGAAATATAAATGGGTCTCCATAGAGCCTATTAAAATTTATTCTAGACCTTTTCATAGTCCACAGTCTACATTCACTGTGTATTCCTATAGCCAACTTATAGATACTGCTTGCCTCTACAACCTCAAACAAAACTTCACCTTGTTTGCTCCTCCTTTCTTCCACCCTGACATAGGCTAAATTGTTCCAGACTTCAAACCTGACTTTTCTCAATGCCTACCCATCATTTAGAGCTCTGTTAATACATCAGAAAATAGCATTTGTTTTTTAGCAGCTGCATCACACTGATGGGTCATGCTCAATTTGTGTTATACTTGAACACCCAGATCCTTTTCATGTACTACTGCTAAGTCAGGCCTTCCCTATATTGTTTTTGTGCCTTTTGCTGAAAATATTCCTGCTTCTTCATGGAAAATTTAACGTAAGCTGAAAACTATAGGAAAGAGAACTGTGGGTTACTTGTGTTAATGTCGTAATATTGTAGAAATATGTATTTTACAATGTCTTTTTTCATTCTTAAAAGGTCTGTAGTATTGATTACTCAGGAGAAGAGGTACAAGTGACCACAACAGATGGAACTCTGTGGACAGCACAAAAGGTGATCTCTCATTCTTCAGGGTTGAAGTCTGGAACAGTTGGCCTATGTTGGAGCGGGCAATCTTTTTCAGTGATGGGGAACCTGTTTATTTTGTTATTGTTTTTGCCTTTGACAGGTGAAGGTGGCATGTTTGATGACATAAGGTTCTCATAGTGGGTGGAGCTAACAATTTTGATTCATTCTCCCCCTTTTTGAGGGATGAGCAGGGAGTTAAATGCAATTGATGAATTAAACATTTTTGTACCTTTTTAGAGCAAATATTGTGTGCCTCTGATTTGTGATCTGTGCTTCTAAGAAATGCTTTGGCAAGAAACAGGAAGTATCCACTAAGATTTTTAATATCCATTGGATTTCAAATTCCTGCAGTGTGTCCTCACAAATGTAAGCTTTAGTTCAGAAGTGGGAAAACGCAGGCTGGTGGGCCAATCCATTTTGTGGCACTCTTTCTTTTATTTTCATCACTCTTATTACCTCTTGGGATTGTGAAGTAGTGCTAGGGTGTTTGAGATTGCTTGTGCAGTTTCAGATACGTGTGGCCTCAGTGGCGCTCAAAAGCTCTCTGTTAACTATTCTGCCCTGGTCATCCATTAACTGAGTCTCTTTCAAAGCAGTTCTGCTTGGTTACATCTACAGTAAATTAAAATATTTGAACACTAAGATTATAGGATAGCCTTCCCTAGTGTGGTGTTTTCAAGATGTGTGGACTTCAGTTTCCAGTGAGCAAGGCTGTTGAATTGAAATCTGAGAATTGAAATCTGTGGATGCAGAGGTTAGCGAAGATCATAGGGGCAATAGGAGATATTGCATGAAAATTACACAGAGAACAATTCAGAAGTAAATAATACCAATTTGTTTTCCTGTTCTATTTTGGGTTCTGCTCTATCAGTAGAGGAAGATTGAATGTTATTTGTTTTTTGGGGGGGAGGGGCAGTTGAAATGCAGAAATGCTTGATCGTGTCCTTGAATTGCTAGGAGTTGAAAGATGGAAGATGGACAAGATAACATTTCCTTGATGGATTGTGTCTTTGAGTTGTTTTAAAAGACAGAGAGAATATTTATTGTCTGTCTTAGATGGGTTGTTTCCTAGTTACATCTTTTTCTGCCTTGTTACCATGGCATTGTTCTTTTCTGGATTTGGTCAAATTTATTGCTGGAAAGAAGCCATTGAAAGCTTTTCTTGAAAGTAATGCATCCTTTGGCTAAATAATTATTTCCTGGGGCTTAATTCCCCTTTTTAAATATGGAAACAAATCTATTGTATACACTGGGTTAAATTATTTCAAAGTAGGGTAGGGATAGATGAATCAGTTTATGTCTGGTCAGTTCGAGTGTCACATGTATTTGGTTGCAAATCTGTTCTGTGCGTTTGCCCAGTGATGTGTAATTTAAAAAAACAACAAAAGAAACTATTTTAAAGAATATTTCTCAGAAATTGACAGAGTTATCAATCTGCATATGTTCTAAACATATTTTATCCTTAAACATGTTGCTTAAAATAAGACTTTTTTATTTTTATCTGTATTGAAAATTTCAAGATAGAATAATGTGTAGCTACCATGAGAAGGATCCTTTGATAGCCAATTAAATCATTCATTTAAAATGGAAAAAAAAAAAAAATTCAGGATAGGAAATTCAGAGTGTTTATTACATTATTATTTACGCATTAGCCCAGCAAGGTGTAAATTAGGAAATTCAGAAAGATGGAATTCCTTTAGCATCCTATTATAATATAATTAGGGCTATTTTTCTCTCAATAGGTTTTAGTTGCTGTACCTTTAGCTGTTCTTCAAAAAGCAGCTATTCAGTTCAATCCAGCCTTGTCGGATAGAAAAATGAAAGCTATCAATAGTTTAGGAGCAGGAGTCATTGAGAAGGTAAGAGTTTGTTTTATATTATAGAAAGTAGAATACAAACAGCTGATATTTGCAGGGAACACTTTCCAGGTGGAATTTGTAGAAGCCAGTGAAGGCCTCCCACGACAGTGCTGTAGAGAAATCATTATTATTTGAATACTGATATAGATCTATATACTTGTATTAGTATTTCTGATGAAGAATCCAAAAACAAATCTTGGGTTCCCATGGCCCACTTCATAACCTTTTTTTGAAGTTATGTTCTTTACATGATCTGGTTGGACAAGCTTATTCCAGTAAGAATGGATTCCACATGCATGTATCTGTATGTGTTCATCATGAAAATTAATCCAAAGTAAGAAGATACCTCTTACTTTATTTTTCAAAATCAGTCTTGTCTTGAGGCTTATTGACATTATTAATTTGGTATTAATAGTTAGCTCTACTTAGTTAGAGCTAAGCTAAGATTAATTCACTTCTCTGAATACATTTCTAAAACGTATAAGACACTAGGTATAAGACCCTCAGATGTTAAATATGCACTGTTCAAACTGTATTTCTTTGGTGGTGATGTTAGATCAGATGAGAGAAAAATCTTTGAAGGTAATGGCTTGATCCTACACTCTTATAACAGGAAAAAAATTTACTGAAAGAGGTAGATCTTACTCCCTACTCCTACTAAGCTTATATAGGTTGGCAGCCCAAATGACCAGAGGTAAATATTGCTTTTTTGTTTAGATTGCACTACAGTTTCCTTATAGATTCTGGGACAGCAAAATTCAAGGGGCTGATTACTTTGGCCATGTTCCACCTAATTCAAGCAAACGTGGACTCTTCAGTGTTTTCTATGACATGGATCCACAGGTATCTAGTATCTTCCTATTCTTCAGATTTGGAAAAATAATTACCTTCAGAACACTTTTCCTCTTTATTTTAATGGAAATTAATATTTTTCTAATATAAAATCTACAGATGACCCTTCCTTTCTTGTTTTCAGCGTAAATGCAGTGTTCTAATGTCTGTAATTACTGGAGATGCTGTGGGAACTATTAGGAATTTAGATGACAAACAAGTGCTGCAGCAGTGCATGACTGTGCTTCGGGAATTGTTTAAGGAACAGGTAGGTTTCTTTTTCAAAGACCACAACATTAGTTCCATACACATGGGAAGCAGAGATTTCCCAGGACTTTTAATTAGGGATGGATGAATTTGTTATATGCTCTGTAATTTTCTAATCGTTTGGTGTTAAATTTATTTTGTTCCACTTCCACATGACTTTGCATTTTAAAAGTTGCACATATTTTTAACAATAGTAGGAGGAAGGGCACTTCACCTAATGCACATATTTTGTCAATTTAGCATAATGTGTTTTCTCTGATATGTTTTAAGGCAGCAAGTGCAGCATATTCAGTTGGCCTGTTTGCTCTTCCCGTGAACTTTCCAGTTCTTTCTCATGTCATGCTGCTCTACATCAGGCCATCAATCTATTTTAATTTAATTTTGTCTGCACCAACTGGAAATAGATTTTAGACATTAGTCTGTATAAGCCCTGCCTGGAGAAACTGGAAACTGAATTTGAGATGTTGCACCTAGCACTGTCATGGACTCTTAAGAAACTGAATTTTGCAAGAAATGACTGAAGGATTTCATAAAGCTAGAACCTGTGAATTCATGTGTCATAACAGTAACAAGAATTACAATTCTCTAGTTGCTTACCATTGCTTGTATTTTGTATTGACTTGACTAAAGAATAACCTGACAGCACATGATTATTGAAGTCTTCTTTGAGATCTTTATATATCAGTTTAGTTATTCAATGGACAATTATGCATTTTTATGTTTTAACAAGATGTTGTCAAAATACTCAATGTATGTTTTAAGCAAGTGACTAGTTTTGGACATACATGGATTAAGGCATGTTTCATTATATTTATTAATTTTGCTTATCTTTGTAATTCAGGAAGTGCCAGATCCAGTCAAATATTTCATTACACGATGGAGCAAAGACCCTTGGATCCAAATGGCATATAGTTTTGTAAAGACAGGGGGCAGTGGTGAAGCTTATGATATACTTGCTGAAGATATACAGGGAAAAATCTTCTTTGCTGGCGAGGTGAAATCTCAGATACATACGTTTTAAAAAATGCAGTCTTGTTCAAATAAGAACTAAGTTTGAAAAGACTAAAAACATGTTCATGCATTGAGTAGGCATTGCAGTCATTAGAATGATTTCTGAAGCTATTATAAGTAGTCCTCAGGTTACAATGGCAATTGGAACTGGGATTGCTGTTGCTAAGCGATGCAGTTGTAAAGTGTGATGTCAAACGACTGCTAGTTTAATGACAGCAGTCCCAGGCAGTCCTGGTTGCTGTTGTAACCCCAAGACGTGGGAAGAGGTGGGAGTCCCAGGTAAGGAGCTTAGGAGTTCTGTGTGTGGGGGGGGACTCTGAGGGCCGGCGCAGGCTGTGTGTGAGTCCTGGGAGGGCTGGCACAGACTGTGCACAAGTCATGGGAGGCTGTGGGAGAGTTGGCACAGGCCATGTGTGAGTTGGGGGAAGGCCTGGCAGGGGCAAGCAGAGACGGTGGGTGGGTTGGGATGCTGCAAGTGGGAGAAAAAGTGGGAGTGACTTACAACTTTTCTTGCAATATTCCCCATTGAGTTTGCTTTGAGGGAGCTGGCAAGGAACGTTGCAAATGATTGCACAGCCACGCTCCCTGCGATGTAATTGTGAGCCAGGCACCTGAGCGCCTGGATCATGATTATGTGACCACGGGAGTGCTGCGATGGTCAGAACTTTGAGGACCAGTTGTACATTCATTTTTTCAGTGCCAACACAACTTTGAATGGTCGCTCAACAAATGGATGTAAGCGGAAGACTACCTGTAATAGTCTACACCATGGGTATACAAGATAGTGCTTCCACCATATTTATTTGTGTCCTAAACTCCTTCTCTGTGGTAACTTTCCTTCTGGGACTTCTTACCTGGGAAGAACTTACTTGTTACCTCCCTAATTATTTTCAGGAGGATGAAGGATTATATTATTTTGCTCCTAGATATTTTTATTTTTAAAGATTTGTAACATCTTCCACAGCATATTAGTAGGATTTTTCCAACTATTTAGTTGAAATGTTGTAGGTCTTCTATTTTTTATAGCTTGCTGCTTGGGCTCTGATTTGATAAGGAAGTTACATAAATAATTTCTGCTTAAAAAATCTCGAATTGTAGATGCACTGGGTCTTTTCTAAGGAAAACTTTCTCTTTGGGAATTCCATTGTTAATTATCTTTTTCTCAAAATGCATACTCTGAAACTTGTTTTGTTTTAAACAGGCCACAAATCGGCACTTTCCACAGACAGTTACGGGAGCCTACTTGAGTGGTGTTCGAGAAGCAAGCAAAATATCAGCATTTTGAATACTAAACTACTGTTTACATTTTTAAACAAATCCTAACGCCAAGTGGTGCTCAAATGTGTGAAGACTAAACAATTTTTAAAGCTTTTTTATTTTTTACACCTTGAGGATGCACTTACGTTTTATCAGAAAAGTATGCTAAAGTAGCAATTACTTGTGAGCAGTGCTAGCAGCCAGACAAGCATATTCATCTCATATCTTTTTTGAAACTTCAGCTGGAAGTCTATATTATGGAAGTTGGAAATGTAATGAACCTTAAATAGTTGTGGGTGGACTGTCAAATAGCTCATAGGTAGTCAGAAATGTTTCTTCAAAAGGATAGTAGGTTTCTCCAATCACGTCTATAAAAAAAAAAAACTACAAGAAATGGTCAGAAATACAAACATGGAGGCCTGTTGTACTGTTTAATTATATATTATGCATAAAACAATCAATTCATAACCTTCATTACTGACCTGCAAAAAAATGACATAAAAGCAACATTTGTGTGATGCTTATTATTTGCTGATCATGTAAATGGACTAGCAAAAATGTTTGTTCTGTGGACATTTCCTTTCTGTGCACTTACAGTTTCAATTATCAGAACTCCAGTTAAGGAAGTATAATGGAAGTAGGTAATTCAGTGAAAACTTTTTTTTGGGGGGGGCTTAAATTTGGGGTTGGTTGTTTTTGAAAAGTTAAATGATGTGACATCATCCAAAAGCAAACAAATTTTAGATGGTGTAATATCAGTTCATTATATTGTACAATGACAATTTCAGTATGGCAGCATCAATATCTGTTCTATTATTTTTCAAAAACATCTCTTAAATGTGTTTAAAAAGTATTTTGCTACAAGAATGCAATATGCAACATTTCTCAAACATATGAATCCCTGAATAGTAACTTGGTTTAAAATAGAGGACAAATTGGAGAAGAATTACTGTTTAAAAATATTCACAATTTTTAATAGTTTTACTAAATTAAATAGCCAGGCTATAATTATGAAAACATGTATATAAAGAAATACAAAATAAAAATGGATGATTTCTGGAAATTTTCCTCCCATTTAAAATGCTAAAACTGTGTGAATGTTTATCCAAAGCAGCTTAACTGTTTTTTTTTAACCTAGTTATTTTCTTTCGTACTTATTAATCCTTTAACGTGTATTGAAGTTTTTGTAAATATTAACAAATAGCAAATTGCATTAGGAAATAAAGGAAACCCGTTTTAAACCCAAATGGTATAATGTGAAGCATTTACATATCAAGTAGGCATCTGTAAGTATTTTATAGTCATTAATGTGGAATGATTTTATAGTTATTAATGAATCATTCAATGAGATGGGTGGTGACAAATTTGATATATATACAGCACTTGTAAAAGTTTTAGGCAGGTGTGAAAAAATGCTGCAAAGTAAGAATGCTTTCAAAAGTATACAGTGGTACCTCTACTTACGAACGCCCCTACTTACGAAATTTTCGAGATACGATCAGCCCCCGCCCCAAAAAATTTCCCTCTACTAACAACCTTGCCTCGCCTAACGAGCCATTTTCCGCCCGTTCCACGTGGTCCGCAGCCATTTTCCGCCCGTTCCACGTGGTCCGCAGCCATTTTCCGCCCGTTCCATGTGGTCTGCGGCCATTTTTCCGCCTATTCCACGTGGTCTGCAGCCGTTTTTCCACCCCTGACACGTGGTCCGCGGCCGTTTTTCCGCTCCTGCTGCGTGGTCCGCGGACGCCGGAACGGATTAACGGTAATTACATTGACCCTTATGGGAAAATTTACTGCGACTTGCGACCAACTCGACTTGCAATCAGAGTCACGGAACGGATTAAGTTCATAAGTAGAGGTACCACTGTATATTGTAATTGTTTATCAATTTACAAAATGCAAAGTGAACGAACTGAAGAAAAACCCAAATCAAATCAATATTTGGTGTAACTACCTAGAAGAATTGA